ATCTGAAGGTCATGCGTCCGAGACTAGCATGGCCCATTCACCAAAAAACAAACGAACAGAGGTACCCTTCATCAGCTCCCTCCCCCCTCCTTCATAAAGCTCTTCTTACCTCCCTCTTCTCTTTCCCCTTCGCCCTCTTAACGTATCGTTAAAAAGTTTGCCAATGGGTAGCCATGTCATTTTGGGCAAGCCATATTATGTTGGGGCAAGCCATGTCATTTGGGGCAGCCTACGTCATTTACCTGGGCAGGTTAATCTGATGATAATACCTCAACGCCATTGCCCTTAAAAAAAAAAAAAAAAAAAAAAAAAAAAAAAGATGGACTGCTGAATGGTGGCAGCCTGGTGTCAGTAGCTAGGACAGTTGGTCGGATCTCAAGCAAGAAACAAGATGAAGACAACATTGTTTCTACATTCTTTCTACATTGTTTCTACATTGTTTCTACAGTGGCAATTATTGCCATTAGGCATGCACCGCGCAGACGGCGTTCTGAACTGAAGGAATATGAATTTCCATGGAAACCAATAGACATGGCTCTACGCGAAACAGACACTACGGAATTAGTTGTTTCCCCTCCCCCCTCTTTCTTACCTCTCCTCCAGTTGCTACGCTTCGAGAGGCCTGGGCCCACCTGCCAGGGCCCAGGCACTCCCATATCAGTCGATCAGTGAAGGACTACAAGCTGCTGAGGATACACGTCAACGACTCGAGTCCGTAGGCTGAACAGCACCCCGTACCCAAACTGCCAAATAGCCAAATAGCCCGAAAATGGGCTGGAGGTGACATATTCTGCAAAGCCAACAGGCGTCTGCCCCGGCATGTGGGTACAATTTCCCATGGAATACAGGCAGGCATATTTAGTATTTACCTATGCATTATAATCCGGGAAAGATGAAAGCAGGGGTACGGGAGGAGGAAAAGCAGATGCCCCTTCCCCTTCCTTTGCCACACACAACGGAGAAAAAGAAGGCCTCCTTCACCCTTCAGCTGTCTCAGCTCCATCAGAGCATGCATGCATACATATCAGTAATCGTTCCCTGTCTCTTATACACATCTAGATGTGTATAAGAGACAGGTCTCAGCTCCATCAGAGCATGCATGCATACATATCAGTAATCGTTCAAGGCATCCGTTAAAATTGCAGCAGAGCAGCAAAAATGGCAGCCAACGGAGAAAATTAAAATAGTCGCCACACAAGGATGACACGCAAGAATCGAGAAACGGAGGGTCCCAAAGGGCCAAAACTAGTTATTAGGAAATTAAAACCGAAGGAAAAAGAATAGACGTTAGATTCAATTTGGTATCAAATCAAATCAGATCTGCTGCCTAAAATAAACACGGACCTGCTGTACTCGACGGCTGGACAAAGAGACCTACCTATATCTCAAACCCTCCTTTGTGTGCATCAAAAAGGAAAAAGGATAGACATTAGGAAGGAGGGGGAGGGAGCTGGGGTACAACTGAGGACGAGAGTAATCTTCTAATAAGAAAAAAAAAAGAAAAGAGAGTACACTTCATAATCTGAAGGTCATGCGTCCGAGACTAGCATGGCCCATTCACCACAAAAAACAACAACAACAACAACAACAACAACAACAACAACAACAACAACAAACAGAGGTACCCTTCATCAGCTCCCTCCCCACTTCATAAAGCTCTCCTTACCTCCTCTTCTCTTTACCCTTCGCCCCCTATCGTTAAGAAGTTCGCCAATGGGTAGCCATGTCATTTTGCGCAAGCCACATGTCATTTGGGGCAGCCTACGTCATTTGGGGGGCAAGCCATGTCATTTTGGGCATCATCATGGATCCGTTAGCAGAAGAAGTGCAGTCTACCATTGACGCAAGGATTTACGCAAAGGGGTGCAAGCTCAAGGAGAGAGAGAGTAGCAATGCACAGAGCACGACCCCTGCAGCTCTACAGGCACCGGATCGACAGATGGGAAACCCACAGGCACCTGTCTCTCTCATCTCAAGAAAAGATCCACGTCCACAACAGCCAAGAACTGATGAAATCCCATAGCCATCCAGCGACATGTGCACAAGCTCACACGGTGGAGACAGGATTCCCCCGTAGACACCGTTCAATTCAAAAAATAAGCATTGATTGCCCCACTTGTTCCCTTACACACACTCGGACACTAATCTCTCTCTCTCTCTCTCTCTCTCTCTCTCTCTCTCTCTCTCTCTCTCTCTCTCTCTCTCTCTCTCTCTCTCTCTC